AAACTCATTAGTGCCCCTCTGGCCCTTCCAGGCTAAAGTCAGATGGGAATTTGGAAGTGGTCAGGGAGCAGGTTTGTCTAGGAGTGGAGATGGGGTGCTCGCAGGTACCCCATGGTAAACCATGGAGAATGTGGACTGACCCAGGACATCTTTTGGTAGGAAGATGTGATTACACATTATAAACCTAACGGCTCCTTTTTGGGCTTTATTTATTTTTAGTATCTTATTTCACTAACCTGGAAATTGTCATCTGATATGTAGACATAACATATCAGGCCAAGACAAATTCCTCTTCTTATCAAAGAACGTAGTGCTCTACTATAGTTTGACTTAAAAGGATGTATGTTGAAATCACATAAAGTGATAAACTCCATCCTATATTATGTTGTTATTTTTTCTGCAATGCTGTGTGTATGAAATTGATGGACAACCCTTTTAATTTATTGTTAAAATGTGTTTTTCAGACTACATTAACAACCACACAGAGAGAACTGAATCAGCTCCAAGAACTTAGCAACCACCAGAAAAAGAGAGCTACTGAGATCCTGAATTTACTGTTGAAGGACCTGGGGGAGATAGGTGGAATTATTGGCACCAATGATGTGAAGACAGTAAGTCAGCCCTTCTTTTGTCCTCTCTGCCTACTCTTATAATGGCATGATCCTAAGCAAGCGGGGTCTGCTTTAGTCTCCTGAGTATCCAATGCTTAACACAGAGCTTTGCACCTGCCACGTGCTTGGTAATATTTGAATGAATGAACAAAGGGCTGGTTGAATGACGAAGTGAATGATTGCATAAGGAGGAGGAGAAAAAAATTTACCTTTCAAATGTAGGAAATGTCTACAAATCTTAGTCAGCCTTATGGTTTGGTCTTGAAACATATGCCAGTGTCACAGAAATTTGGATTTGGGGGAAGCACATGTTCTAATCTCAGAATTGTGCTTCTCCTTTTCTATGAGAAGCCAAAAGTGAAAATTCCCCAACCAATCAATACGGATTAGGAAAGCTGTTAGCTGAAAGTAATAGGATTCTACTAGTAACTTAAAAACAAAGCCACCTTTATTCACAGTATGGGAAGTCCAGAAACTTGCTGTTCAGGCTGTGATTTGTGTCACCTGGGAGCTTGTTGGGAATATACTCTCAGGCCCACCTCAGTACTACAGAATCAGAATCTATATTTTCACAAGATATTCCCCAGGCCATTCTTTTGCTTATCAAAATTTTAGAGACAGGGCCGGCCAAGTGGC